CGTGTGAACGTGTATTCAGACGGCGTGACTCCAGCTTTGCGCAATTTTTCAAGCAGCCGTTGTTCTGGCGAAGTACCCCTGGAGTAATGGAACAGTAGAATCAGATGACAAAAACCTTGCAACCAAATGGCCATCACTTTGTCCACATGCGGAATGAATTGAAGCACAAACGACATGAACTTGCCAATCTCTGTAATAAGGACATGAGCTGACCGAATCTCCTTTACGGAGAATTGATTGGAAGCAAGGCTGTGTGCAATTCAGACAACTTGAAACGCTGCCGCTGCAATGCACGTAGAGAGACTCTTGATGCCCATCCTAGATGCAAAAGTCGCCGAGATCCCGAATTTGACTGCAAGTTCTTGCAGTTTGGCTTTCTCCTTGCCTCCATAGTTGATCTGCACAAGCTTGGAGACAGACACAATGTGCTCTTGAAATTCTGCAAAACGCTTGCCTAGGGGTCGTTTGAAGCTCTGGATCCACTTGTCGACGTCCCCCTCTCCTGATCCCTTTAGTCGGGCTTTGTGATCGTTCAAGGCTTCGGCAGGAACACTGTCGATCTTACGCTTGAGGTCACTCTCCCAAGTCTTCGGTGGTGTCCCGGATTGTAGACACGGAGCACTAGATTGCGAAGCAACCGGGAGCTGTGTTTTCGAAGCGGGTTTCGTGGGGGTAACGGGAAGTCCTGCGGCTTGTAACTGTTCACGACGGCGATTGAGCTCTTCCGAAACTTGAAGGAACTTCTGAGATTGGTCGACGCCTGTAGGCACCGGCATGTTGTCAAACATGAGCTGAACGATCTTGTCAACCAGCGGCTGAAACAGAGCTGCACAATCCGTGTTCTTGTTGGGAATGATTGTAGATGGATTAGCGGCCTGAAAGAGTTGCGTAGCAACTGCATCGATGTCAACTTTGCGATCTCGAAGGTTCTTCGTCACTTGCGACATGAACACTGCTTCAGCAACCGTAGCAACTGGCACAACACTGAAAAACTTGCCATGACTTAATGCTCGAAGACGCCAATCTGAAACTCCATGAAACAGGAATTCCTGAACAGGAATGCTGAGTGGATCTTTTCCTGCGATCCCTTTCTTTCGCGACCACGGGGTGGCTTCGATGTACTTACGAAAGGACAACCCATGAAGCACCGTTGAGTCATAATGATCACGATCTGACGCCCATCCATTCGGTAGTGCAGGAGCAAGACCAGGACCTTGATGAAGTGGCATGGGAGTAGACGGCGATGATGAAGGTGCCGAAGAAAGTGGAGGCGGAGGTAATGGAGGTGGCTGACTAGCAGGGGCAGAATTGGAGAGGTTGGGATCTGTCCAACTTCCCGAGCTATACGGCTGATAGCGATGCTGACCCCACGATTGTTGGGACCTCCCGTACCCTGTGTTGGTGTCCCACTGTCCATTCCATGCCATGGTTTCAGAACTATCGACAAAGCTAAGTGCACGGGATCGCTAAAGACACTTCGAATCAAAAGGCTCCGTAGTTGAACAAACCTGCTCAAGTTGTTTCCAAACTGCAACACTTGCACATCACTTGCACAACTCTTGCGCCACACTTGCTCCTCTCTTGCACTTCCGACGCACACCCTTGCACTACCGCTGACACTTCACTTGCAGAACACTTGCACATCACTTGCAACACACTTGCACATCTCTTGCTGGCACATCTCGCAATCTTAACTGGCATGTTTTCGACACATGTATGCGTGCAAAGTAGTTGACAACGGAAGAGACTTGAGAACGTGGCTGGTCAAAGCAGCATGCTGCACTCAGACCCTCCAAAAGACAAGAAGCGCTTCCGGGATGAAACATGAAGAACGAAAGACCCATCTGCCATCTTTGGCACGGGCAACGTCACGAATGTAACTGCAGGAATGGTCACCTTCAACTCCTCCCATGGGGATCCTTGAGTGGGGAGGCGTGAGGGACCCTTGACGATTAAATGCAGATCCGAAAATGCACACCGGACGCTCACTCAGAATGCCACCGTACTTGGACGCTGCCTCTTGTGCTTGTTCTGCATCTGAAGTGTGAGCCCTAGCATAGAAGGAAATTGGTGGGGACCACTTGCTGTCACTAGCATCCCAATACGATGGTCGGATCGTTCCCTCAAGGAGGATAGATGCAGCCGCTGCCACTGTTGTGTTGTGTGCAACAGGCGAACGAGCAATCCCTGCTGCAGAAGTATGCGACCTGATCATGGTCCTCTCAAAGTGGGTGAAGTGGATGCTCAAGCACTTGCACGAACTCGACAGAGAACGAAGCTCCACAGAGTGAATGTTTGCAGCTTGGTCAGCTGCTGCAATTGCCTGAGAGACATACTTCAATGCCGTCGAATTGACAGAATGGGCAGGAAGACCTAACAGGCTGATCAGATAGTCCGCAGTGCTTTGCACCAAAGAGCTGGGAACCTGCAACTCAAGATTGGCCTGTATCTTTCTCGAAATCTCACATGCCGATTTCATACGGCCAGGGCTGGAACTGATCAAGTGACGTAGAGCAGTAAACATGGGGTATAATGCGACCCAATTGAAGCTAGCTGAGTACACACGTATCAGCTTCGCTTCTTCATCGCGCACTTCCAACCCACGAAGTTCAGGAATCACGAAGAAGTTTGAATCTTGCTCCCACTCAACTTCCACATGCCCTTTGAGAAGAGATCGATTCTCAAAATGCTCATACGAGTCTTGCAAGGGTTTAACTCGAAAGACGTAAGTCTGGTCCGCACTGAGCTGCCACCCTACACGATCTGCATGAGTACCAGGAATCTGATCACAAATTGCACGAAGGCGAATGCTGTTAGGATCTGCAACGAGAGAAACTGCGCTTCCATGAACTTGCCGAAGTCGCTTTGATGGCTGGGATGAGTCATCCGTTTGATACGTGAGGGCTGACTGCTGGCTCTGACCAGATGCTGTTGACTGATTCTGTTGAGAAACAACAGACTGCTGAATGTCGAGCAAATTGTTAAGGCCAGCATACACATCTCTGTGGCCTCGGACATGTGTCAAGTTTGCCGACATGATCGCTGAGTATTCAGCAAAATCAGCCACCGAACGAAATGACAACCGGAAACCTGCGCCATCTGCATGAAGAGTGATTGCTGGTGGAACCTCTTGCTGTGGAACAGGCCGATCATTTACAGCACGTGCAGCAGTCAAGGTAGGAGTTACATCTGCTGTTCCCAAACCAACATTGGATGCAGAAGGGGCCGGCAAAGAAGAAGATGAAGCAGGCGCCGGGAAAACTGCAAGAGTGGGGGGTGGGGGAGGGAAGGCGGGAGGGGGAAGGGGAGGGGGGGGTGGAATCCACTTCGCCGTGGTACCACGGGAGGGGGGAGGGGCAGAAGCGGGGAGGGGAGGGGGGGGCAAAGGGGGAAGGGGGGAGGAGGAGGGTGGAGGGAGAGGTGGGGGAGGAGGGGGGGGGGTTGATGTGCGGGTACTGCGTCTCTTACCTGAAGCATCCATGGCAAACTGATCAGCAACTACCCAAAAGTACAGCTCATGTACTCAATTTGTAGCCGAAGACCTGCGACAAGTCAGCGGAAAAGTCAGATTCGGGAAAGTCGGTCAGATCATAGAAAGTCAGTGGGAAAGTCAGCATTCAGGTTTCGGTACAGGCATTTGGTAAAGACTCACTGAGAAAGTCAGCTTGCAAGCACGGATATAGAATCAGGGAAAGTCATCCAATGCTTATACAGTCAATCGGGAAAGTCAACACCAGAGCTACCTCTGGGAGACACGGCGCCCATAGGGAATGCCGTTGTGAAGCACACTTGACACATCGTGTCGCAGGTCTGATCTGTCGATGCAAACTGTCAGGAAAAGTCAGCAACTCGAAGCAAGCCCTAGCAACTATGCAGGAAACTCAACAGTGGCAAACGTGAAGCTGTCCCTCTAGTGTTGGTTACTCCAGTGCCTCAGGGGGCCCACTGGCTAATCCGAAAGCAGGTACACAGTGGTGATCAGCCACTGCATCCACTCCAGTGATTTGGCTTCGTTGGGCAAGGCTGATCACTGGAGCCCTTGCCCCCCTGCTCAATCAAGTCAGATTTACCTACCCTTCGAAACAGGGATGGACACACACACACACACACACACACACACTTACTTCCTTCAGCTTGATATACGAGTAACCCCTGCAAAGCGGCTTCTTTGCGGGAAAGGGCTTAAGTTGAGGGTATGACAGGTTGTGACTCGGCATCTGGATGTTGGTCCAACTCAACCGGTAGCTGTGTGGTCTAGGCACGCACTCAAATTTCTTTTTTTCGGGCAGGTGGTTTGTGGCTCCGACTGTAGAGTTTCTCGGTCTCTAGAAGCTGGCACAAGAAACTTGTACTTGGAGTGCTGCCCTTCGCCCTGTAAGCGTCGCGGTACATTCGAACACTTGTTGTCTCTGAAACCCTAAACCCTAAACCCTAAACCGTGACATGCTTTGCCACATGTCTGGCTCCAGCATAGTGAATGCATGAAGGTGCAAGATGATCCGAGCCAGGACCCTCCTTGTACCCTCAAATAGGGGTATATGGTCCCAAATAAGGGGTTTCAGCAGAGCAACATGCCGAGAATGGTGTGGCATTAGATAATCCGTTCCACGCAATGACATCTTAGTAGCTGAGTAGGTAGCCTCTAGCCTTTTGCGTTTCATATAATGCTACGATCTTGGAAAGGTTAACCCTTGATGGGCTAGGGTACTCAGCCCCTCAGCTGATAGACAGTACGGCATGCTCCTGCACCGCCTTCTGTAGCTGCAAAGCAGGCACAAGAGACCTTAAGTCAAGCTCTAAGTCGTAGCCTCTACTACCCCACGAGCCTTACTACAGCCTAGCCTGGAGCAAGCTTTCCGGCCTGGAGCATTCACCCAGAAAAAACTCTGAGGGCATTGACGTGAAGTTGCCAAAAATAATAGGGGGGGTCCCATTTACTTTAAGTTACATGAAGCGTTAGTACAGGGTGTGGGGTTAGGGGATTTCATTGGGCTGGTGCCATGCGGAATCTGCATATAACTCGCCACGAGATACCGTCCGAAAAGACGCATGGCTGCATTGATCAAAGGGGGAAAGGAGGGACCCTTAATGGGGACCCTGACCCTATAATCGGCTATATGATGGGTATATAATAGCTATATTAAGGGTATATACCTAGGGGTCCTTATTAAGGGCCCCTCCTTTCCCTTTTGAATTGAGCACTTTCCCGGTTTTGTGCTGCAGCCCTGCAATACTCTAATGGTCCAAAAATACAGGCGGTACCGGCGGTACGTACTTTGGTAGCCGGTAGCAATAGCAGCAGCAGCAGCAGCAGTAGCAGCAGCAAAAACAACAACACAGCAACTTCAACTACAACAACATTAAATAACAATAACAATAATTGAGAAGAGCACTAGCATGTACACAACACAATGAACCCCATATCATAGAACCCTACTGTAGATCCCGCATAGACCCCTTTACGGATCCCTTTAAAGGGAATCCATTCTGAGATCCTTTTTGTTGCCTTTGCTGAGGAGTGGCGACCTGGGCATCATATCACAGGAATACTCCTCATGTTGCAACTCGGATAGAGCAAGGGACTGTAGGGCTTCACGGTTTAGGGTTTAATAAAGTGGCCTAAATACTTACCCAAACTTTTTTTGGGTGGTGGTCCTTATTCTAAGTAGAGTATGATATGCCCCAGAACCCTCTTCTAATTATTAAGGGCCCTATATCATAGAACCCTACTATAGATCTTTTATAGACCCCGTTTACGGATCCCTCTATAAAGGGAATCCGATTCTAAGTATTAAGGCCCGTATAGTAGGGTTCAAGTCTATAGTTGACGAAGGGGCTTGCTGTCAAGAACAGGGTTTTTGTCAAGAATAGGGTTTTGGTGTAGGGTCATACTAGAACTAGGATGCCCAGTAGTACCCTTATTCCCTTTTTGGTAGTCCTAGGTTCCTTATGAAGTTACCCAACACCAAAAAGGGAGCCCTTTTTATTCCCAGGTTGCTGAGCATCCTAGAGAAGCATGATTAAGCAACCATGGGCCTGAATTACCCAGAGATCCCAATACCCCTTAATTAAGGAATATACCTTAAGACATAATATTAAGGCACCTATAATGTAAGGTATATTCCTTAATTAAGGGGTATTGGGTTCTCTGGGTAGGGTTCCGGACAGAATCCTACTATTTTGGCTTCTAGGCCCAGGGTTTCTTAATCAGGTTCCTACATCAGGGAAAGTTCCTTCTACGTTTGCAGACTAGACCTCTATAGTTTAGGCTTTGGTGACTCGCATAGCCTGTTTTTTGGTTTTAGGGAGGGTACCAGAAGGTACCCCATTCCGGGTTTAGGGTTTAGCGGTTTTCGGGCCGTACTGCCGTACAGCTCGGCCTTCCAAACTCTTTGGCATGTAAGTCTGTTTGTTCTCCGTCCATTGTGTTGGAGCGTGCTGCGTCCATGGATAGAACGTAAAGAGGCTCCTGAAAGGATTCCCAATAGGATTCAAGAGCAGGTTGTGAGGCTTTGTAGGGTTTTACAAAGGCTTCTCAGGATTCTCTATGTCTGTGGCGGATGTAGAAGTTGGCAAGCGTAGCTTCAAAGAGACTCTCAAGCTTTCGAGCTTATCATAGCTCTAGGGCGTATTCTCTGTGGTGTTTTTTTTGTTTCCCTTGAAGAACGATCCTGGCACCCTGCAATCCTTTCACCATCAAGACCGAACACAGAGCCAGTAAGCCCTAAACCATAGCAGTAGTTTGATTCCTGATGGTGTCAGTAGGAACCTTTAGCTTTGCGTCTTCCCTGACACTCCACACTGCCCACAGTAGGTAAGACTCTTTAGAACCCGTGCAAAGTAGGCACCACGTTTTGGCAACCTCACACGCAAAAGCCCTAGTCATAAAGGCTCTTATGTTGTTCACACATCTCCAAGATCTTGCTTTGCACACATCTCAATCTCAGAGTGTGTGGGAGGCACAGACGGCACGGAGGATTCCGAGGAGGTGGACGGGGTTTTTGCGTACTGGGTTTAGGGTTTCGGGCTTAGGTCTGGGAGACTAGGGGTGTAGTATGCGGGACGGAACAACTGCTAACAATATCCCTATTTCGTACACTTATGCAACCCTCTGATAGTGTCTTTCGTGAGAACAGCCCGTCTGTTGCAAAGGGTCAGTGTACCTGTATCGCATATAAACTTTGAGTACCTATTCGGCTCTCAACCGCTCCGAAAACTGTGGCCGGCATGGCGCCGGCCCTGTGGAGTCGTGCTCTCTATTCTCCTTCAAAATATAGGTTACGTGTATCTGTTGTAGAATGTACAGAATCCCGGTTCCAAGCCCAAGAGTAAAGGCTCCAAGTATGCAACTGGAACTATCGGGGCCTAAATAATTACCAATACCAATACTACGTTGGGGGTTCCTTATTATACTTATTCTATAATGGTCCCCAAAACCTTATTCTAATTATCAAGCCCCCTGCATTAGCTGCTTTGGGAGCTATGTCTGAGAAAAGTACCTACTATGGGCTGATTGGAGCCCTAGGCACTGCCCAGCCCGCAACCACTTAATGTAGGAACCTGATTAAGAAACCTTGGGCCTTTATTAGGGTTCCTTGTATGAACCTTACTACGTTGGGGGGTTACAGGCCCAGGGTTTCTTAATCTGGTTCCTACGTTAGCCTCCCTAAACCCTAAACCCTAACCCTAAGCCCTAAACCCTAAACCCTAAACCCTGAACTCCTGAACTCCTGAACTCGACTCGAAGCCACCGAAGCCTCTGCAGCAAGCCAGCGATCTAAAGTCCAGCTTCGGGGTTTAGGCTTCAGGGTGTGGGGCCTGGGGCCTTAGGGGTTCCTTTAAGGGCCCCTTTAAAGGGATCTATAGGGATACTATAAGGGTATAGGGTTTAGGATTCTACTTGAAGGTTCATGGGTAGTCATAAGTGGGGTTGTAAGTAGGGCATCTATAGTCATAACTCCTATTCGGGGACTTATAACCCTACGTATATCTATCCAAGAACCTCCAAGTAGGCTAGAAGTTTAATCACCTCGACACCAAAGCCCACAACAGGCTCGAGAATCCGACCACTGAATCTTTGTCTACCCGGTCTACCCGTCAAGCAGAGTTCTTCTACACTGTTTGTGCCAGAAACTGTGCACATATGCTCGAGCTATCGCAGGATTCTATCGATGCCAGTCAGCAAAAGGCAGCAGCCTTCCTCATCCAGCACTTTCGCGTGCATGAAGCAAGGCCTCGTGGCTTGAAGTCTTCGGGGAATTTGCGCCTTGTGAGGTGTAGGGGCTACTACCAACCTACATTCGTGCAGACAGGTTTTAGCCGACATCACTCTTGAATCGGTAGCCCTAAATCCTGAACCCTAAACCCAGCCTAAGCCCTGAACCTTAAACGCGACACTGAACCCTGAACCCTAAATTCATGAACCCTAAACCTCAGTTAAACCCTACATAAACTCATGAACCCTACCTAAACCCTGAGCCCTAAACTCATGAACCCCAAACCTAAGCCCTGAACCTGAGCCCCTCTGTGGCATGTCTTCACGCATGGCTGAGGCATCTGAACCTGGAGACAGAGTCCCTCTATGGAGAGCTTCGGCATAGATCCCTAGAAGGGCTCCGGTTAAGGGCTCCTTATACCAGATCCCTTAAGGGGATGCTTTCAACTTTCAAGGGGTTCCTTTAAGGTCTCCGTTTAAGGATTCCTATAAGGGTGACGATAAGACGGTTACTATAATATAAGGATTACGATAATATAGGGGGCATAGATCCCTCTAAGGGTGGCGATCATAAGGGTTACCATAGTGCAGGGATTATGATCATATAGGGGACTCTTTATTCAGATAGTGGCAACGGTCTGTTGACGGGTGGTGGGAAGAGGGGTGTCCTGAGGTGTGACTGTGTGCTACAACTCTGCTCGAGACAGTGGAAGTGGGAGGAAGCGTTGTACATGTTTGCAGCTGTCCAGGGGTTCTGGAGGTTAGCATGCTGAAAGTAAAGGCATCCCAACCAAAAAGTTCGCCCTGAGAGCGGCAACTCAAAGCCTCAAACCCTAAATCCTAAACCCTAAACCGATAGAACGGGTCAACACGGAGGACTTTTCAAGAAGCTTCAGGTGCTTCAGCCGAGGGAGTTGATCTAGACTAGGGCCCCTACTTGGAGGTTCATGGGTGTGTATAAGTAGGGTATAAGTCCTCTAATAGGAGTTATAAGCATAGTTGTCCTACTTATAACCCCACTTATAATCACCTATGAACCTCCAAGTAGGGTTCCCTTCTTGGGTTTTGTAGCCCCCTGGTGTCACCTCATGTCGTCGGGCTCAAGGCTTTGAAGCTGTTCTCAGGATTATGCCCTATATAGTTCTTAAACCCAGGAGCCCAAGCAAAAAAGAAGCCCTAGACCCCCTAAGCCCTAATCCCATAAACCCTGAACCATGCTTCGACTGCATGAGGCCGTGATCCTCGTACCTCAATTGGGCCGGAGTTGTGGGTGGCCTCGGGCGCTGATGCTGCCTGGCTCGCTTCGGCTCTCAGGGTTAGTACCACAGTCCCCGTCTAAACCCCGTAGAAGTATACTACAGCATAACCAGGGTTGACAAAAAACTCTTCAAAAGTTGCATGTGCTGAAGAAAGCTGACAGACGGCTACTACTGGGCCTGAAGTGCTTAGGGGACTTACGGCCCTCGTTTGCAGCTTAGGAGGAAAGACCGTTCTAGTCAGACCAGGCCGACAGCGCGGCTGCAGTCACTCTCCAGTTTGGATTCAACCTGCTTCAGGATACTTATTAAGCTGATACTGTCAGCAGCTACCCACCCCCATAAACCGTATATTATATTCGTTCGGGCTGTCTTTTCGATATAGCGATAGAGAGAGCTCATACCTGCCGACCTAAACCAATCCCTACCAGGATATCTGCAATCCGCTGAAGTGTTTGTCTTGTAGCCCTGAGGGTCCATGTACCCAACTAGTATATACTTTGGCCCAAAGTACCTATACAGGGACTACTCCACGGCCAAAGTATATGCTATTTGGGTTTATGGACCCTTAGGGCAGTCGAGTAGGTGACCTTTAACCTTAGTCGGGTACTCGAGGCCTTATACATCAACTGCGGGTGCCCCTGAAGTACCCTGAACCTTGAACCATCCCAAACACTAACCCCAAGGAAATTTGAAGCTTCCAGAAATGACCTGAGCTTCTTCAGGTTCGTGTCGCTGCAGGTGCCTTGGAGGAACTTATGTGGGCGACTGTTGGGCTTTTGCTCCGGGGTGGCTGCATGTGCCCTTGTGTCAGATACAGATGGTACTCAACAGTGATAAAGCTACCAAACAATCATGATAGTAATGATAACAATAACCGCACAAAGTTACAACGATCATCTCATAACAGTGCTTCTAGTAGTGCTTTCATTCTAGTAGAACAAGGTTGTGTAAGGTTTGCAGAGGGTCTAGTTTCTAGGGCTTGTTCTTCGTTCTTAGTGGAAGCTTGCTGGACTGTCGGAACTAGCCAGAGAGTGGGGCCGAGCATTCCAACACCTGTTCCATTCGCGCATGGGGTTACTACTGTTGATGATATAAATCTTGCAGTACATTAATGAACTATGGGAATTATGGTATATTCCTTATTATCGGTAGTGCAGGATTTATATTCTCAACCGTACTGTTCACCAAGTATCGCTGCAAGACTCTACATGACCCCTGAAGCTTCTGACCTTAGCTCTGCATGAGCCCTGAAAATTTGCAAATGGGCGTGGTTTCCATGCAAGCTCCTTATCATGGACGCGGATTATGTGGGACGAGATATTTCCACATGCTACCAAGCTGCACTTCGTCAGAGGATGCTGGATTGAGCTGGGCCAGACGATGTGGACCTGCCGCGGGGTGGCCGCCATGGTCTCCCAATCAGCACACATGCAGTCGTCTTGGTGGCATTATGAAATGCAAGTGGCGCAAGATGCTCTACTTCTTCAGCAAACCCGAAGTGTCCATGTACTCAATCGCTATTTACTTTGGTCTTAAAAGTAGTCTCGCTGTAGGTACTTTGAGGCCGAAGTATATAGTATTTGGGTACATGGACGGAGCGGGAGGAGCACAACCGCCAGGAGGAGGCAGATGGCAGCAACGTCCCAGTACTCTAAGGGCCTTAACAATTACCAGTATTATTCTAGGAGTTTAAGGCCTCTAATATTACATGCGTTCCTCGGAGTCGGACTCCCAATCCTTCGTGTCTGGTAGCAGTTGACGCAGCAATCTGGTCGTGCTCACAGCAGCCCATCCCGAGCAAGCGTCGAGGGTTTAGTTAGGGTACAATAGGGGTCTAAGGACTCATGTACTAAGGCTTTTGGGCCCAAGGCCCATACTACATAAGGCTTTTGGGCTATTTGATTGCCTAGGGATAGGCACTAAACCCGCCAAGTAAGGATGCAGCCTAGTAGCTCAAGGCGCCAGACCATTATAGGATCTCTTAAGGAAGCTCTTAGAAGAGCCCTTATACTTGTGAAAGAGCTCTTAAAGGATCCGTTGCAGGAGCCCTTGTGGGAACGGTTGTGGAATCCATCCTGCATATTGTCACCCTTATAGAATTCCTTACGAACCTTTTACAGGAGCCCTATAGGAACCTTTAACGGGATCCTGCTTAGGGACGCCCTTAAGAAAGTCTCTTGTACGGAACCTGCAAACTTGAGACCTGAGCCATTTCGACACATAGCTTTTTCTGACGAGCCAGGTGTAAGGCTTAGGGGTTATAGTCTATAGGATTTAGTGTGTAGGGCTTAGGGCTTTCATGGATTAGGCCTCAGATGTTTGGGGATAAGGGTTTAGGGTTTGGGGCTTAAGGTTTACAGTCTTTCCTTATGCGCCAGGTGTACGTTCTCTTCATCTTGAACGGTTTCCTGCAAGCTGTACTTCTCATGGAAATCAGCCGCGAGCAGAATGTTCTGGATGTGCCGCCCGAATGCGCTTACTGTAGGGGCCAAATTAGTTACCTACACTATCTTGGGGGTTCCGCAATATAATTAGAGTATAATGGGCCCCCAAAGCCCTATTCTAATTATTAAGGCCCCTATTTTGCAGGATGGAGCCCTCCTGGAGTGCTAGGGAGCATTGGGGATTCCCTAAGCCCTAAACCCTAAACCCCTAAACCCTAAACCCAAAACCCCAAATCCCTAAACATCCCACAAGATTCGGCCTCGTGCCCGCAGAAAGTTGGGCCCTGGACGTTCATGTAACCGCTTGTAGAAATCTTTTCAGCACCAGCGGCAGTAACGGAGGTACATCTTTGCGGTTGTAGTTGCAGCAGATCTGCATTGTATGCATTATCAGCATCGTTAGCACGAGCAGCAGCACAAGTGGTGCTGGTATCGGATGTGGTGGGGTTGCATGTGATTCCTTTCTGGCATTGGTGCTGGCTGCAAATGTTGACGCCGCCTTACGGATCGGGACGGAGACATGAATGATCATGGCTCAACCATGGCATGATGTCGCAACGTCGCAAGATCGATCCTCCTAAAGCTCCAAAAGACCCAATAAACCCTGGATCCTAGGTGCCCAAACTCTAAGCCCCTAAACCCACAAAGCTCAAAGAACCCGGTTTGGAACCCCTGTAAGAACCCTTAAGATGTTTTAGGACCCTCATAATAACTCCTAAGGTATCCAAACCGAAAACAACCCAAAAACTCTAGAACCCTTATAGAAAGCCTTCATAGACCTTATAACATCCTAATTCCTAAGCCATAAACCCTGGTTCCATATAGCAACCGTTATAGACTTGTGGATCCCTCGCTCTAAACCCAAACCCTGAACACCCACAGATCTCTAGCACGGAGCCCTAATCTCCAGGCCCTACACCCTAAAACCTCTGTACCCTAGACCCTAAATCCTATATGCCCTAAACCCGATACCCTGTATACCCTGAACCCTATACCCTAAACCCTAAGCCCCAAACCCTAAACCCTATAGCCTAAGCCCCTATACCCTAAACCCTATACCCTCAACCCTCTACCCTATGCCCCAAATCCTAAACGCTAAACCCCAGGTACGCCGGACAGATGTGGCTCTGCGACTTCGGCGCACCGTTGATCGACTGCCCAGACGACCCTGGGTCCTGGTTGGTTATGATGTTAACTTTTTTGGGGTGTAATAAAGCTCTTTGTTGGTTATGGTTTTACCTACTTTGTTGAAAGAAATCCAATATAAAGATTAACAAAACTGTGATGATTTTGAATTTTTTGATCGAAGAAAGCCCAATCAAGATTAAGAAAATATCATACAAGTCTAACCCTAACGAAGAACCAGGACCCCTCTTGCACTGGTCCAGGAGGAACGCAGGCCGGCTATAGGGTTCGAGGCTCTAAGTTAGCCGTTGTCAAAAGTAGGGTCCCCTTTTTGGGTTTCTATTACCCTTAGGCTCTAAGGACTCATATTCTAAGGCTTTTGGGCCCAAAGACCATACTATATAATGCTTTTGGGCTATTTTGAGCCTTAGGGTTATTGTTAACGGACACCAGTCGGCCGTTTGCATGAAGCAATCATTGGTGCCATTGAAAGTTTCCATTATGATACGGCACCGAAGATTTAGGGTACCCAAAAAAGGGTCCATAATTTTGACAACTGCCCAAGTGATGTTGGGCTTAGGGTTTACATAAAGGTTTAAAGCTAAGGTCTATAGGGTTTATGTTTAGGGTTTGGGGTCAGGGGTTAGGGTTGACGGAATTAGTGGTTTAGGGTTCAAGGCTTTACGGTTTGGGGTTTGGGTTTAGGAGTTTAGGGTTAGAGGTCAGGGTTTGGGGGTTTAGTGGTTTAGAGTTTAGGGGCTAGGGTTTGGAGTTTGGTCCAGGATCGCAGGATCTGGTGCTTATGGCTTGGTTTTCGGGATCCCAGGATTTGAAGATGGGCTCCTGCGCCTTGCTCGCCCTCCCTTAGTATGTTGCAGGCCTAAATCTGCATCCATTAAGCTCCTGAACCACCAACTATAGTTCGGGTGTTTAGGAGTAGTAATATGATAGTAATATGATAGTAATATGGTAGTAAATATGGTAGTAATAGTAGTTACAGTGTTAGGGTTTAGGGTGTTGGGTTTATGGTTTAGTGGGTCAGGGTTTTGAGGGTTTAGAGTTGGGAGCTCTGGAACCAATGGGACGAGTAGTGATGAACGTAGAAAGTCATTTTGCGGCATCATTCGTAGTTCGCACTTCTGAACCCTGTCTAAACCCTCCACCCCCTATAAGCTCTAAACTGTAAACCCTAACCCTTTAACTCTAAACCCTGGTTAAGCCTTAAACCGTCAACTCTAAACCCGAAACTCTAAACTCAAGGCATAGGCCGCCCACCTACTGTGTCTGGTCGGCGCTTCTCCCTTGCGAGGGATCGTACGCCAGCCTCCCCACGGTTATGGGGATTAGGGTTTATATAGGGTTTAGGGTTACCCTAAACCCTAAACCCTAAACCGGGTTTAGGGAGATTAGGGTTTAGGGTTTAGGGAGCCCTAAACCCTAAACCCTAAACCGGGAGCACCCGCATCGGAACTGGTAGTTACTTGGCCCTCGACCCAAAATGGGCCACCCAAGGGGCCTTCGAGCGAGCAGATTCCAGGCACCCAGAGAAAGGGGGAACCGCTTTCTATAGACAGGCTTTCCTATACATATATATATATATATGTGTACATATTTCATATGTAAAGGTTTAGATAGAGACATGTCCATATATATAGACAGCTCATAGCCATAAAATGGTGCACTCCACAGCCTTGTCGCAAGATACTGATGTATCTGCAGCAAACCCTGAACTCGAAACTCTAAAGCCCAAGCCCGAAACCGGAAACTCTAAACCCTCAAGCCATAAACCCTACAGAACATCACGCCCTGGTGGCACTACACACCCAAACCCTTAGCCCCTAGACCCTAAACCCTCAAACCCTCAACCCTCAAACCCTCAACCCTCAATCCTTAACACCTAAGCCCTGAGCCCAAAAGCTTAAACCTGTAAACCCTAAACCCAGAGCTCCTAAAACCTGAACCATCAAACCCTGAGCCGCTAAAGACCAATGCCCGGAGGTTGATGGGAGGCGGCTCTACGACTACCGATCCTGGAGTCCCTGGACAGGGTTTTAGGGGTTCAGGGTTCAGGGGATTCTTGAAGGGGTTTATATGAGTTTCAATAGGTTCTGGGTTCATAAGGTTAAGGGTTTGGGGTTCAGGGTTTAGGGTTTAGCATTTCAGGGTTTAGGTTTCTGGGTTCATGGCTTAGGGTTCTGGGTTCAGGTTTTTGGGTCCCGGGGCTTAGGCTCCAGGGTTTATAGGGGACCTTATTTGGGGGTCCTTATAATAGGGATACTACTAGTTAGGGTACTATATTAGGGTGCCCTATGATCGGAAACACCCAAAGGGGTTTAGTTGGGATTCAGGGTCCGAAGGTCGCAAGTTGTTTCTCAGGGCTATGGCCGATTCGCCGTCGCAGAACAGGAGGAAGCAGCAGTAGCGGTAGAAACAACAGTAGTAGTAGTAGTAGTAGTAGTCGTCGTCGTCGTCGTAGTAGAAGTAGTTGTTGTTGTTGGTGCTACGATATGGGAAATTGTAGGCGTTGGTCGGAGCATGTAGGACGGGGAGGAAGAGGAGGAGGAGGTTCGTGTGAGCGCATATGCAGAATCTTCACGACTCCTGACTTGACTTGAAGGATCACGGGACTTAGTAAGGTTTAAGTAATTATGGCTACAAGTACCTCATTGGGGCTATAAGGAGTCATAAGTATAGTTACCTGAATAATAATCCTAAACGCCTTTGAGCCTTTGAGTTTTTAGTTTTCAAGCTGAAATCGAACTTCCCGAGCATCGGATATCAGAAGTCTGTACTTCCGCGTTTTGTAGAGGTTTTAGAGGGTCCAAGTACTCCTTGTGTTAGGACTTTGGTTTTTGATATCAAAACCATAGAGGTTTTTTGTTAATGAAAAGCCTGTTTGTAGTACCCAAAGGAAACAAGTACTCCCTAATTTAGGATTTGCTGCCCTTTTTAAAGTATCCATAAACAGAAATATCGCAATTATAGGTCTTTTGGGCCTTCTTGAGGTATCAAAACCATTCACCCCTACTATAGGACATTGGGGCCTTTTTTCGGTATCAAAAACCCATAAATATGGACTACTTGGGCTGTTAGAGGAAGTTTCAGAGTCAGCACTATGGAATGACGGGTTGGGAACTTGAGATCTTTTAGGGCTTAGGGTTTAGGGTTTAGAGCATTTTTGTCCGTCGCAGGCATGCAGCTTCTAAGACTAGGATCGTCTCTGCATGGTGATGATTGAGATTTTCCTTCCTGAAGCCTGGCCTTTTTCAATTCGGAAGATGGTTTAGGGTTTAGGGTTGTCCTCATTTCCATGTGCAAACGTGACAACATGCTTACCTGTAGGCTAATCGTCACCAAAACCTCAATCCTGAAACTCCCTAAGCCCTTATAGAGCCCTTAAAGGAACCCTGAAAGGATCTCTTTAAAGGTATCCCGAATATTCTGCATTCTTAACCCCTCAGCCCAGCCCCTGACACTTCCTGGTCCTGGTCGGCCCTGAGATGCGAGGTACCCGTACCTTCTTCCGCGACTCCTTGAAAAAGCAGCTCGGCAAGATAGCACATGGAGTTTTAGAAAATAAGGGCGTGCCTTACTGGGGGGTCCTGATAATAAGGATCCTACCATTAAGGGGGCTAGATTAGGGACCCCCTATTTTCGGAAAATGGGCGGTTCACATGTAGAAGGGCCACTGAGCCGGACCGACATAGTCTAGGGCTTCGGCGGGGTGGTTCTGAACTCCAGTCTTCAGTTAGCGCATGAAGCGGTTCATGGAGAAGATACCATACGCTCCCCTAAAGCCTACTTAGACCCCGATATAGCTCAAACCCAAACATAACCCAAAGCTTTCCGGCTCACATTGCCCTTATAAACCCTGAAACTCTATACTACCTTACCCTTACAAACCCTAAATGCTAAACCTGACCATGCGTTGCTGTGTGAGGTTGTTTCCCGACCGAGTCGGGGAGATCGACAGAGACATCGATCCAGGACGGATGCCGAAAGTGCTGTGAGGTTAAAGGGTTCCGTTAACAAAGGGATCTATACGGGTTACTTTAAGGGGTTTAGGGTTTAGGGCGTAGGCTGTAGTTAAGCGGGTTGTAGGGTTTCGGGTTTAGTCAAGGCATTTAAAATTTAGAGTTCTGTTAAGGGGTGTATGGTTTAGGGCTTAAGCCTTAGGCTGTAGGCATGTGGCTTTCAGGATGGTCGGGATATGATGTGATTAGGGCTTTTGGGATTGTAGGGGCAGGGATTTGGCACGATAGAATAGGGTTTCGGGCCCGTTATACTATACTTATAGTACGGAACCACCCAAACCAGTATTGGTAAGTAGTTAGGCCCCTATCTTAGGGGTCTCTAACGTATGCCTGCTGTGTCCCCGAGCCGTGCTCGTCTTCCGAACCTTAGCGACACTTGACGTCTGCAAGGAGCTGGGCATGTGTATGGATGACAACCGCAACGCCTAATGCTTTAAGCCTGTAAAACTGAGCACGACTTGGAGGTTCATGGGTAGTTAGAAGTAGAGTTATAAGTAGGGTAACTATAAGTATAACTCGTATTAGGGGACTTACAAGCATCCGCAAACGTGCGGGCGAAAGCGCCACACCTCTCCACCCACCATGGAAACGGACACCCCAAGGGTCCACGAGCCAAGAACTTCCCCAAATCGTGCCTACTGTGGCACTAAGTTGGATTGGTTTCAGGCAGAAGCGCATACATGCATTATACATATATGTATACACATATATATATATATATATATAACTCATATATATATATAGACACAAAAAGTTATACATGTACATGTGACCATCTACATATGTATATATACAGATACACACATACGTACACACACACAGGTACATGGACCCTTGGCACTCCCAAGTCCCGAAACACTTCCCAGTCTGACGATGGCAAGGCGAGTATGGCGCAGAGAGTCGACTCATTCGCTGGATCTGTTGCTTCATCTTCATGCTTAGCACTCTTGGCTCTCAAGGTCTAGGGTTTCCTTTATGGGATCGTTTAAGGCATCCTTTCTGGGCTCCAAGGGAGGGTTTTGAGGTTTGGGGTTTTTGGGCTTTGGGGGTTTGGGGGCTTTAGGGGTTTAGGGGTTAGGTCGGGTTTGGAGTGTTCAGAGTTTGGGGTTCAGGGTTGATGGTCTATGGTTCAAGAAGAGGGTTTCGAGCCCTGATACGGGGCTCGGGGGGAGCATGACTGTTTCGAGCTTTTCCGCCCGGCACTCCTTCAGCTTTGAGTCCTATAGCCCTAAGGGTCCAAAGGACCCGATAATTAGGTACTTGGGTTTAGGATAGTAATTATGTAGGTTACTATTTTGGAGAGTACATGATGAGTAGGTATTTGGACCCTTAGGGTAGGAGCCTTACCAGTCAGAGAAGGGCTTTTGGGTGTACTACAACATAATGACATCGGGACTCGACGGATTGAACATTGCAGCGCTCGGATACTTCAAGCTTACAAGCTCCTAAATGCCAAACTCTCAAACGCCTTCTATCTCCAAGAGGCTTCTACCCATCATGGTAAGTAATAACATCATATTGTTGTAGCATATTATATATAGTCGTATATAGCGTATGCTAGTATGCTGCAGCATATTGTACTTTCTTATAGCGAATTGTAGTATACATTGCCCCCCCCATTGAAGAAATCAATAAGGATCTCTATTATCGTTCCAGAGACGATGAGGGTGGCAACTGTGACAGACAAAAAAAAACTGACGAGCGCGAATGTTTACAACGTGTTGTCAGTGTTGGCCTCGTTCTTTGAGTGTTGAATGACACCGCAGGGCGGCCCACCTCACACTTCAGGTCCGCTGGCAAACCCTCCTTGGCACACAGCTAGATGAATGGGGCAACACGTCCTTCGGGGAACAACAGAACTCGGGATTCTGCAGCTTTTCGAAGGTTCTTTTGAGGGGTTGTTCAAGAGTTCAGGCGCCTTTAGAGGTTGGAGGGCGAAGGTTTCAGCTTGGGCTTAGGGCATATAGGGGGGTTGGGATGGATAGGGTTTCACCATGCGGGGGTGGGGAGTTTTGCTTTGCTCCCCCTTTTCCCTTACCTTTGGATAGTAGGGAATGGAAGAATGGTAGTCATAGCTACTATTACTACCATTCTTCCATTCCCTACTAACCAAGGGACCAAAGGTAAGTTCCCTCCGCTTCCAGGTATATCCGAAGAGCTGATACTGATAAGCAAGATGTGTCGGCTCCTCTACAAGCTGCCATCTTCTGCCGAGCCGCTCGAAAGCAAGGTTTAGGGTTTAAGGTTTAGGGTTTAGGGGTTGAGGGTTTAGAGGTTTAGGGTTTAGAAGTTTGAGTGGGGCATCAGCAATCCGAATGGTGATTGTCTTTTCATCCTAGTATCTACACAGCTATATGGAGACTACAACATGGAGGGTATGGCTGTTTTGTTGTTATTCAACAATCATCACCCCCCCTCTAACACAAAAGCGAAGCGGAAATTCCGAAGTCTGCGAAGAACCCGAAGCCATACATCCCGAACCCGAAGAAGCCCCTTTAGTTCAAAATCTAATTCCGTTAGCCCCGAACCGCATTAAAAGCCCTACACCGAAAACCCCACACCTTAAGTCTTAAACCTTACTTCCTCTCCTAACCCGTCGGACCCTGTCTCCTAAACCTCACCATCCTAAAACCCTAAACCTTAAACTAAGCTGGCAGGTCTTGGATTGAATTCAAGGACCCAGGCGACGAGCAGGCCCTTCCAGAATCCGTTTTAGGTTTAGGGTTTAGGGTCATGGTCACAAGAGTCAAAAGTGCACAGCTTTGCCCAAAAGAGCTGTCTTCATAAAGCGTATACAAGCCACTGCAGGTTATCTGGCATATGTTAAGCGGGCGAGGGAGAGCTGTGTCTGCGTGTTTTTCTTTATATATACATGTAGATAAAGACAGCTGTGTATACATATCTGTATATATATATATATATATAAATGTATATATATAAATATATGTATATATATATATATACATATTTAATGCGGATAAACATATATACATATGTTTACATGCATACATGCGTGCTGGTTTGGATTCTTGGACAGGGTGTCGGTAACCGGGTATCCCGGTCATCGTGGTTAGGGTAAGCTGCCGTGTGTTAACACCGAGTCCGGATCTGGCGCACTGAACCGTGAATCCTCAAGAGAGTTTAATTCGACTATTCCGTTGTACTCCCCATGGAGTATACCACCAAAAAGCCTATTCTAGTTATTCCAGTTTTTCACTAGTCCGTCCAGATTCACAGACCTTCGTCTGCTTGTTTGCTTGAAGAGCGCACCTTCCCCTTGCATGTCCATGGCCCTGCACGTAATTATACTGAACTGTACCCAAATGTGTATATATACTGACACAATATATAGGATTTTGAAAAGTGTGTACATATCTCTAATACATGACAGACAATTACTGAAGTGTTCTCATGAAAACCAATCCTTGGAATCTAGCAGCATTGAATTAAGGCTTTTGGTTTGTGGATCAGATCTCACGGGATAAACATTGGGGAGTCCCTAGACCTTAAATAATTGACCTACACCCCCAAACCGCAAACCCTAACCTCCAAATCCGGAACCCTCAAGCCCGAAGCCTAAACCCCAAACGTTGGCCCCCAAAGCCCAAACCCTGAAACTTAAACTCGAAACTCTAACCCCCGAGCCCCAAACCCGAAAGCCCGAGGCCGAAACTCTTAACCCTAAACCCTAAGGTTTAGGGTCCGGGGTTTAGGATTTAGGCTCGGTGTTCCTGCCAGGTTGGCGACGCCTGGCTCGAATACGTCGAGGTGTCTGTCCAGGGCATGCCTTTCAGGCGGGGCAGGATCTAAGATGATGAAAAATGACCATAATACTACCAACAATCATCATCATAGGCATACTCATAACAGTAGCAAGCTGTTAATGGCAAGTAGGCAGCAAGAGCAGGTCCTTTGTAGTTCTTAACATAGTTATCACCCTATTCGAACCACTAAGGTCCCAGGGTGAACTACTCGGTTCCTGAGTGGTACAGTTTGACCGCTGTTAGTTTAGGGTCCCCTTATCATAGGAGGCCACAAGGGGTTTTAGCCTATGGGGGTTTAGTAGGGGTTAGGGTTCCCATAATAGGGTTCATATTAAGGAATCCCTACCCCAAGAATCTTAAACCCCCCTTTTGGCCTCCCATCACCTTATGGAGAAAGGGAACCCTTATTATCATGGGGCTACCCAGGAACCAGGACTAGGGCCGAGGCCACCAGAAACTTGGTGTCCTACCTTCGAAGTGCCGCAGGGTCCCTATATTTTCTACACTCGGGCTGATACACATTATGAAGAAACTACACAAAAGTGGGTTCTGTAGTTGAATATAGGATTTAGTTTGTAGGCTTTAACGACTGAACCACCACTCCACTTGACGTGCACATCATCTTCTGGCCTCGCTACTTGACATTCCGGGTTTGCGGATTAGGGTAGGATAGCATGGGCGGGATCGATGAGGATAGACCTTGCCAAAGAGCTGATGCGGCTTGTTCAAGTTCGTCGTATTCTCGTTACCACCAGTGGTTCTGCTGTCGTTGGCAATTGTTATCGTCAGTGTTCCAAGAAGCAGCCATCTCAAACGTCGTCTCGGAGTTTGGAGCTTTATGTTTTTGCGGACTACCTGAAGTAATTATGCTGTGCCGTCGAGACTTCATCGAAACGATGCGGCCGTTACATTAACCAGGAACCCTCTAATGGTGTCGATGTGTCCCATTTCCACGTTGTGCTCCTTTTGCCTTTTTTCTTCAGGGTTTCCTTCTTAAGTCTCGGGTAAAGGATACCGTGGTTATCAAGGGGACACAATCCTCAAACCCTAAACCCTTGTATAACCGAGGCCCTTTAGAAACCACGAACCTCAAACCCTAACCCTGATCCTTTGGAAACCTATCGCAGGTGGAAGGTCATCAACTGTGTACTCATCCTGGGCATCAAAGTGCCTGGACTGCATGTTGGATGCTACGGGTTTCTACGGGCCCTGTCTCTGTCGTTTTATACACCTCGTCATAGCCTGAACGTGGATGTCGCAAGTCAAGCCAGTTGTTGGTGCGTATTGCAAGAGATGATGCCGAGTAGTAGTCCTCGAGTGCAGATAATCTTCCTCTGGTTTCGCTAGCCACCGAGCACTGTAGATCAGTTCGTGCTTGCATGGTGCTTCGTATCCCTTGCATCGACATGCTGGCCAATCTAAAGCTTCTGTACTGGAGCCTTCCGCAGTTCAACATGGCATTTGGCATGCTGGCAAGAACATCTCGAACAAGACCAAACACGACTCCGGCAGCGGTTGCATGCATGTGCGCCAACATGCACATTCACAACAACACACACACATTCACACACACGGACGCACACATCCATTCAGCGCACATGCACGCTCATGCATACACCCGACGGTCCGGCACGAACGATCCTAGATGGCAGCATCAGCGCAGCCATCATGCAGGCACAAGGCGGAAGTGTATTCTTGGTTGGTTCCTGAGCCTGAAATCATCCCAAGCTGTTTGACCCTGGAGTCAAGCCCCAAACCTCAAAAGCCGTTGAAAACCCAAACCCCCAACCATGGAGACAGAGGTTCAACCAGCTTCCCCCGAAACCCTGAACCCCCTACACCTTGAACATCCAACACTGAACTAAACCCTAAACCTAAACCCATGCCGACGACCTTAAACTGAAGGAAAACCCTAAACCGTCAACCTTAGACTATACCCTAAACCTTCAACCTCAAACTAAACCCTCAACCCTAAACTCTCAACCTGAAGCTAAAACCGAAGGCTTCAATCTTAAACTAACCCTCAATCTTGAACCCTAAACCCTGAACCCTGAACCTTAAACTAAAGCCTCAACCCTAAACCATCAAGTTCAAAACCAACCCTAAACCCGCCTCAACCCTAAACCCGCCTCAACCCAAGGTGGCGCTCTGGAGCCTCACGGCGCGCACAGGCGTCACGTTTCTGATGGAAACCCAGGCGATCTCAGAAGCTTGGTCCAGTTTTAAGGTTTAGGGTTGGGATTATAATTCCCCTAAACCCTGAACCTTGCTTATGGAGTCATGGGTGTAGGATTAGGATGTAGTTCGACGATAACCCTGGATTGATGTCATCATTTGTGCCGTCTCTCCCGAAGTGGAAATGTCCAGCATCCGTTTGCCGCACCGGGAACGTCAAGCTTCCTCCAGCTTTTCCCTGCGTCTCCGAAAGTCTACGAGAACGACCTCTTCGGATCAAGCTTAAGTTGTTCCACCTAGCTTTTGTTTCGATTGGGTCGAGTTTGTGTTATCTTCTTCTCGCTTGCACTGTCGTTGCACAGTATTGCACAGTGCCCGACGAAGGACTGCATCGTGAATTCCGTAGCTTTGGCTTTTGTGCTCCACATGGACGAGTTGCTTGGCGGCAGTTTTTTGAGCTTCCTCAGGATTGCGCTTGGTGCAGCAGGCTGCTATACTAAAGGTAAGTAGGCTAGTAGGGAATGGAAGAATGGTAGTCATAGTAGTTATAATTGTACCCCATTCCTCCATTCCTTACTAACCAAAGGTTATAAGTATACAAGAATCTCGAAGCTTCCAAGGAGAGCGCAAGCGGTCCCTGCCAGGTGGGGTAGTGGTTGGAAATGCTGTCGTCCGCAGCTCCGGACCGTCATCTAGGCCACCACCACCGCCAGCACCAGCACCAGCACCACCACCTCCACCACGACCACGACCGCGACATACCGCGACCATTACTAAGTCGGAAGACCGCAGCGGCTGCTACCACTACTCACACTACTCAGGGCTTGTCAATCAGCATCTCCTCTTACGGGGTTGGTCTGCAAACCAACATATCCTTTTCGGCTGTTGAGTTTGTCAGCTTTCAACACCTTGTAGGGTGTTGGGCTTGGGGAAACTATAGCGTTGGCAAATCTAGGGTTCTGAGGTTCTGACGTATATCTATCTACCTTCAGCACCAAAGGACCCCTGATGCGCGTATGCCATGAATCCGTATACATTATGAGTTATAACAACGTTGAATCCTTTAAGGGTTCATTTCGTCATTGAGCTACTCCACCTTCCGAGGCTACCACGGTCCTTAGTCCCCGAATCTTCAGCCTGAGGCTGATCCTCAGTACGCTCACATCTCACAGAGTGACAGCAGCTCTGTCAAAGTGCAAGGCGTACTGCCCGGAGCTTAGTGTCCATGTGGGGTGTCGGGTTTAGAGTTGAAGGTTCTGAGGTTTAGCTTCTGGGCTTTCGGGCTTAGGGTATTCGGTAACCTTGGGTTTCGGCACGAGGGTGCAGTTAAGGCTTACGTCTTGCAGACCATACTCTTCCAGCTGTCTTGTCTGCGTTTGTGCGCAAGGGTTGGCATTTCAGAAGCGCGCCAGCGCTGCAAAATGCTGACCTGCAGTCCTGGTGCTGCGAAGCCATTTTCCAGAAAGCTCCACTGAACGACTAGTTTCACAGTGCTGGAGATGATCGCACTAAGATAGCTGATGCACTGGGATAGCCGTAAGGGCCGCTAGAAAGCAATGTTGAGGCTTTGTGGAGAAGACCGACACACACACACAAAAGCAAACCTAAACCGTAAGGTTTGCCCCGATGATAACGGCGCCTGCATCTCTGAACCCCCCCCCCCCCCCCCCGGCCGATACTTTGGCCTGTGATAGCGAAGCCGGAATCATTGCCAATATACGTTGGGCTTCGGCTTTCCTTGGCTTTCTTTTGCACGGATGGCCCAGACTGCCGAGCCGACATTTCGGGGATGTTGTTGTTCAACAGAGCTTCCTGTGAAGCCCTATAAGGCAAAAGCCAGAAAGTTGGAATATGATTATCCTAAACCCTTTATGGTAAGTTATAAGGTATCCTACCCTGAAACCATATTCCAACTTTCTGGAGTTCCCTATAACTCGAAACTGAGTCGCAACCCCACCCTTGTTCGAGCTCTTTTTCCCCGGATAGTACGGGTGCCTGACTTACTCACCAATCCTATGCCTGAGGGTCCGTATGAAAACTCAAGTGCAAGATCCATCCAAACCCCTATTCTATCTATGAAGGCCCCGGCGCCCTCCGAATGAACCCTGAACCCCAAGCCCATCAAGGAAGCCCTGACAGAAGTCCTGAGAACCGTGTACGGAGCCCTCAGCTCAATGCCCTTCAAGCAAACCCTCCCTATAGTAGAGCCTCCCCTGTCCTAGCCCTAAGCCCTAAACCCTAAACGGCCCCCAAGCCCTCTAATCCCTTAACCCGTAAACCCCTAAAGCCCTAAAAGCCCTAGACCGTGAAAGCCGTAAGCCCCTAACCGCTTAGAGACCTAAACCCTAAAGCCCTAAGCCCTAAAAGCCCTAGACCCCATTTCAAAAAGAGGGTTCAAAAAAAAAAAAAAGCCCTAGACCCCAAAGGCCCTAAACCCCTAACCCCTTAAAGTCCTAAGGCCCTAAAGCCCCCAAACCCCTGAAAGACCTAAAGCCCTAAAGTGCTAAAGGCATCGAAAGCGAAGACGCATCGGACTGGCGGTTCAAGGTCGAGCAGGAGGCGGGCTTTGGGGCTTATAGTGAACCCCAGAAAGTTGGAACATGGATTTAGGAGGATCAGTGCTAGGATTCCCTATACTTTGCTTTAAGGGCATGAGGCTAATGATGTTCCAACTTTCTGGCTTCTACTGCAGGGTTTTGGTGTGTTAGGGTTGAGGGTTTAGGGAGGGTTTTGCTGTGTTGGTCCTTAGGGTTGCGGGCCTAGGGGTTTGGGGTTTGGGGGGGTTTAGGTTTAGGGCCTAGTGTTTGGGGGTTTGGGGTTTAGGGCCTTGGGCTTATACGGGTTACCGTTACAAAAAGGATTCCGATGATAAGAAAGCTTTCGATAGGGCTCTGGGATTTAGGGTTTCGGCCTAGGATTTCGGGTTTGGAGTTTCGGTAGGGCCTTTGGGGTTTAGGGTGGCAGGGTGTCGTGTTTAAGAGTTCTGGCTCCACAGTAGAAGCCAGAAAGTTGGAATATCATTTTCGTAGCCCCTTTAAGGTAAATTATAGGGGGCCCTACCATTAATCCATATTCCAACTTTCTGGAGTTCCCTTTATAGGGAAAGGGTGCAGGGTTATCGGGTTCAGAGCTTCCGGCTTCCAGGTTTAAGGCTTCGGGCCTACCTATAGTCTCCATTGTAGTTCCTTTTTGGGGTGACCCTTTTAGGATTCTTAATATAAGATTGGTTAAACCAAAAAATGGAACTACAGTGGAGACTATAGGTAGTTATTGTAAACGGCAGAACAACCACCGACCAGCATTATTGCGTAGAGTTCCCGTGGCTTGCTCTAACCATGCAGAAAGGACTTTTGTGAGGGCCTAGTAGACTAGTCGTGTACCCTCCTCCCTATCTACATAGACGATAGACTAGAATTCACAGCAAAACACTGTTCTAATAACTAAGGCCCCTTATGGAGTTCAGGGCTAAGGATTTGGGGGTTTCTTCTTTTGCACTCAAGCTGCCAGGGCTTAGGATTTCGGGTTCTGGGCCGAAGCAAAGAAAGGCTTGAGGGTTCAGCACCTCCGTGCTTAGGACTTCAGCTGGCTTTTGGGCTCAAGGCTTGCATGAAGGTTCACCCCGAGGGTCCAAGTAGTCCTTATTGATGGTTGTTGGTACCTAAAAAGGCCCCGAAGTCCTATAGTAGGGAGTACTTGGGCCCTCTGGTTCAGGGTTTAGGATTTAGGGCGGTCTAGGGTTTAGGGCACCGGCTAGAAACGGAGGGTGCAGGGTCAAGGCACTTAGAAACTCCCTGTCATCCCAGTGGAGGATTTCGATTCAGGATATGGGAGTTTCTGAAAATTAGAAAATTAGGGGTGCCTTATTTGGGGGTCCTTATAATCAGGATCGTACTATGTAGGGTACTAGAGCAAGGTCCCCTATTTTGGGAAACTCCCATATGACCCTTGATTGTTGGCTAGGAGCTTTTGAATGGCAGGTTGTCGGATCCATTCATTATGGTCTTCGCTCCTAGTTACACCTGTTGACAAGTTTGGGTTAAGTTCTTTTTGTTCTTGTGCGAAAGGGCTTTAGGTTTCAGGAGTAAGGAGTTTAGGTTTCAGGAGTTTGGCCCTATACCCTGAACCATGAACCCCAAACCTAGATCCCTAATCCCTAAACCCTATACCCTAAACCCTACATCAACCCTAAACCCTAAAACCCTATACCCTAAACCCTAAACCCTATACCCTGAACCATAACCCCTAAACCCTACATCAACCCTAAACCCTAAACCCCAATCCCGAAACCCTAAACCCTACATCAACCCTAAACCCTGAAACCCTAAACCCTAAACCGATAGACGGAGCAGGCCCTACACCGTAAAGGCGAGCCTTGCGCGCAGGTCGACAACTCCTGGGTCGGCAACATCGGGCCCTTCGGTGGCACGTGGGTAGTTCTCTAAATGAGGTCCCCTTTTTTGATTAGGGTTTAGACTTTTTTTATATCCGGGTGCCGATTATGAGGACCTAAATGACATTATTTCGAGAACTTCCCACATGTTTGGCGTTGAGGCTCAATTCAGTAAGGGTGTCGGCTTAGGGCTTTAGGGCTTTAAGGCTTTAGACTTTTTGAGGTGTTGCTTCAGAAACTGTTCCGCAGGAGCTATAGTCGAAGCGGTTAGAGTTCACAGATGGTCCATGGCAACTGTATGAGGCTTGGGGTTTTGGGTGGAGGAGGATCAATTGGAAAAGCTGCTGCAGCAGTGGAAGACAAAGCTTGGGGTGTTGGAGCTGCAGTTGGGATAAGGACCAAAAGTTTCTCCCGAAGGTGGCCGACGACCACGATGTACTGTCGGATGCCCTGGATTTGCTGCAGTGCCAGAAGCTCCTCAAGCAAGCGGAGACTGCCTCGAAGCTGGTTGAGTGGTTTCAACGCCAGCATGTTCCTGCGGTTTCCCTTGACGAGCTGAATAATCTTCCTGGCCGGTCCTTCGCTCCCCTTCCGCGAAGGGTAGTGGACCTTCTCTGTTGGGTGTTGGGCTCAGGGGCTTCAAAATTCAGGGTTCAGGGCCCGGGCTTTGTGTGAACTGACCCGCAAGAGGATACTGTATCCAGGCGTTGGGCTCGAGCCAGCCAGCCAGGTGGATCCTTGAGAAGTCCGAGCCCTCATTTCAACCGAAAAGTCCGCTTGTGAGCCCTTTATCTATCTATCTGGGTGGTTGTCAAAATTAGGATCCCTTTCTGGGTCCTTATTATAATGCAGCACCTCATATGTATGTATCTATCTGTCTACCTGTCTATCTCTCTATCTAGCCAACGAGCTAGCTAGCTATCCTTCGATCTGTCGCTGTATCCGTCCAGCTAGTTAGCTGGCTGCTACCTATCTACCTGCCCATGCCTAAATCGTTCCTGTTTACATACATGTTATGTGCGTATATATATATATATATATAGATACACCCATATATGCGTATATACAAGTAAACAAACGCTTAAAGGCTTTCTATTTACATGTACACGTATATATACATATATATATATATATATATATACACACACACACATAATCCTTCAGAGGTCTGTATACACACACACACACACACATCCTCGTGCAGGTTTCAGTATGATGTAACAAAACCACATTTAAACCCCAAATCCCAAATCCTAAACCCCAAACCCGAAGCCCCAAACCCTGGACCCTAGACCTAGACCTTGGCATGACGGTTGATGAGGTCAATGCTGCATTACCCATAATAAGGAATATGCCGGAGTTCCCGTAGTCTAGGATCAAGGCAATGCAGGACTTACATCATCAAACGTAGGAAAAACCCTAAGCCCTCAAACCCCTCAACTTCTAAAACCCAAAAGCACTAGGATGGGCATATTACCAACACAGGTGATATCTATTATACCCCCCAAACCCTATTATTAGTAAATTATACCCACCCAAACCCTGTTATTAAATTACTCCCCCAAACCCTATTAGTAACGCCCTTATATATGGATGGGCCCTTATCTCATCAACCGTAGGAAACCCTAAACCCCTAAACCCCTAAAACCCGAAAGCACTAGGATGGGCATATTACCAATACAAGTGATATCTGAAGTATATTATACCCCCCCAATCAATATATATATATATATATATATATATATATTAAGGCCCCTATATTAGGGTTTAGGGTTTAGGGAAATTATAACTGAAGTATATATATATATATATATATATATATACATACATACATACCCCAAATCCCCTATATTAGGATGGGCATCCCTTTGGAGCTCCTGGCATCCCTGCTTCTCTGCTCCGTCTTCATTGGGCCCGGGGCTCAGAGGGTTTAGGGGTTTAGGGGTTTAGGGGTTTAGGTTTTAGGTTTTAGGGTTTAGGGTTTAGGGTTTATTTTGTAGGGGTTTAAGGGTTTAGGGTTTAGGGCGCAACCTCTGAGGCGCGCGGCGGATTCCGGTTTTGGAGTTTAGAGTGTAGGGATGTAGCTTTTCGGGTAGATGATTTGGGATACATGCTAGGATTAAGGGTTTAGGGCTTTGGATGTAGGGCGGGGTGTTGGGGGGTTGGGGCTGCAGGTTGTAAGGCACGAGTCAGGATGGGGCATGAGGGCAGAATGTATTATCAGACATACCGATGCATGATGGAGGACGAAGAGACAGAGACTGATCATGATGGGTTTGGGGGTTTAAGGTAAAAGCCAGAAAGTTGGAATATGATTATCCTAAGCCCTTTATGGGAAATGATAAGGTATCCTACCATGAAACCATATTCCAACTGTCTGGAGTTCCCTGTAGTGTATGGCCGGCTCCAGAACTAGGGCAGCATTGAGGTCCGAAATGAGGTTCGGAATGGGCTCCTTCCTGCTGGCAGTTCGCGGTCGACCTAAGGGGGCTGTTGGGGTTTGGACTTGCTCAGGGGGCCGTAGGCTTCAATACGATTTATGTTACTACGATATTCAGGCCGCTGTTTCAGGCCTTTTTTGCTGCTTGTGAACTTATTTCCGAGGATGTACTACTACGACCACTGCATTTGGAGCTGGGAAGGCTGGTGGTTCTATTCAAAGCCGATGCACGACACTCGGATTGATTTCAGTAGGGTTTGCTGCTTCTGTGTTTTGTGCTTCTGACGTTTGCATCGATTTCACCTCCAACATGATATAGGAGCCTTAATAATTACCTATACTGTTCTGGGGTTCCTTATTATATTTATAGTATAACATACCCCCAAGCCCTGTTCTAAGTATTAAGGCCGTTATATCAAACGTAAATCCCCAGAATCTGAACTCTGGAACCCCCTCTCGCGTCTCGCTGCACCATCTGAGTTGCCTTTGTCCAGCAACGAGCCTTTGGCCAGCGCGTTCTTCCCGTGGTTCTTTCCGCTGGAAGGTGACTTGGCTAGGTCGACGGTGTTGCATAGCTAACCCTTAATGCAATGTTCTGCCTTGCAGTAGACTTTTGAGGTGTCACACTTCTGTTACCATTATTTCTGCTTCAGGTGCCGCAGACGAACTATGGTCAATGCCATCCCTGTGGCATGCTGAATGACCGGAATCTCCACGGAATCTGGCACGAGCATCGGAGCAGGAATTGCTGTGGAAGGTAGGTGACAAATTGTGGTAAAGACCTGGCACGTTAGAAGCCCAACACCTTGTTCCTGACTCATTTGATGCAGACTGGCCGAGGCAGCTTCCGAACATGCCAAGTTTGCTGTAACTCCCCGAAAGGTCCATATACCCAGACGGCCTATACTTGAACTTTGCCGGTATTAGATACCTGGAAACTTCAGGTGCATGCCACATATGTGTAACATGCCCGTGTTCACGCAAAGCTATCTATACATAGCTGGACAACCGTAAGCATTTTCAGGCATGCATCTACCTGTTGTTTGTGCATACATACATGCGCACGTGTATCTGTTGACATTCATTGGTGTGTCTATAAGGACTGTAGATGCCTGCATGCACATACATGCATACATACAAACATGCATACATACCTACATACATGCCTACGTACATACCACATACTTGCCTGAATACATACTTAATGCAAACGTACAAAATCCTTTACATACACACTTAGGTTCCAGGATGCCGACGTGCATGCCAATATGCATGCAAACAGACAGGCATGCGGACATACATTCATACATGCATGCATATGCCATTCTTTCACGGATGCCTTCGTTCGTTTATTCATTTCATAGGTTCATTGGTTCATTCGTTCATTTCAGCATCAATTCATCAATCCTTCAGTTCATCCATTCATCCCTTAGTCCATTCATCAATCCATGCTTGCATGCATGCATGCATGCATGCATGCAGTCATTCATTCACTGATTCATGCATGCATTCGTTCATTCACTCACACATACATGCATAGATACATGCAGGCATGCGAACATGTATACATCTATGCACGTGTGTATGTGTGTGTATATGTGTGTGTATATATATATATATATATGTGTGTGTATATACTTATATATATATATATATACACACACACACTTGTTCACACATCATGCGTGTGACCGTGGCCGGTACTCGGACCTTTACGGGTCATGGAATTGGCTGTGACCTTGTCGATATCGGCCTTTTTCCATATCAGCAGCCAAGATGGCTGGTATTTCCAAAATAGAAGAAGTCCGTCGTTCGAGCACTCGGCCCCGACACGCCGACTCCCCGAAGACCTGAACCCGAGGCAGTCCAGGGTGCTGGGGTCATCTAGTGAGGTTGGTGTAATGGGGCTTAGGGGTTTAGGGTCTCTGCTGCCCGTAGCCGGTTTGCCCTTAAAAAAGTTAGGGTTTGAGATTTTGAGGACACGTTATTGCTGAATTTGTGAATACAGTTCCAGCCTTGTCGCTGAGACTGTTCCGATTAAACACTTTGCAAGAATGCTGTTCATATTGAAGCTAGGGAACTTGGTGGTTTCTGTCAGTTTCAGCTGCAAGTGCATGGCACATCAGAGATGAAGCTTGAACCTACAGCTCGGACCATGACCTAGTAGTAGTGTAGGTAAACTTTACCCATTTTTGGGTAGCACCGTCCCTATATGATCCCTATATAACCAGAAGGCTTAGCCTTTAGTTCCCCATGATGCCCGACAAGTAGGATGAACCCTAGAATGCTATAGAAACCCTACAGATAACGAGCAGTTGCCCCCTGGTGACCGACCCCTTCCAATCGAGATTTGGTGCCACAGAACCCCCACCCGGTTTAGGGTTTAGGGCGCGGCCACAGTCTCCGCCAGAAACGGCTGCTGGGTGGCTTGGAGACGGCCTTGTTCTGCTACTCTGGCGGGCCTTGCACAGCCAATGATTTCTGCCATGCTTGAAAAACCGCAGTACTGTAATTCCTCTAAGCCCTGAACCGTAAACAGCTAAATTACAAGCCCTAGCATAACCTCATAATTGAGCCCGTAAAAGCCCGAAACCTTAAGCCCCGGCTCACACAAACCCACCCTAAGCCCCTAAGCCCTTATAGGCCCTAAACCCCCATGCTCGTAAATCCTGGACCCTAAACCCCCAAACCGCTGAACCCTAAACCCCTCAACCCCTACACCCGTAAACCCTAAACCCGTAAACCTTAAGCCCATACACCCCTAAACCCCAACTCCTACATCCTAAACCTCTTCAACAACCTCTTGATCGCTGCTCAAAGCTGCTCGGGCTGAGCCAACCGGGGTCTTCCGTCTCGCTGTCACGGTAGAGGCCTCAGGAGATTGGCTTCTTGTTAAGGGGTTTGATTTAAGTTACCACCGGAATGAGGAAACTCTTTTATTTACTGTAGATCCGTTTTGTGATAACGTTGAACAAAAACCCAGGACAGAATGAGGAATTCGACCGTGGTTATATGGATGATGGCGACGGCGATAATGCTGATGGCGATGACGCAAATGGCGGCGAGGCTGACATGATGATGGTGATACTGACGGTGATGATAAGGTTTCTTATGACGAGGTCCATGATGATGGAAGGGGCTGGTGCGGGTGGCGCAAGTTCAGCATATTTTCCTTCTCGCTACTGCTCCATCTCTAGACTCTAGCTGCCGATCATGATTATCATGGTGATGGCATTGATTGTGGATGGTGATCATGTGGGTGATGCTGATGACGGCTAGAAATAGGAACAACGACAGGGAAGGCAAAACCCTAAATCCGAAAGAAAAATCCAAACCCCTAAAACCCCTACAACCCCAAAGAGGGAGCAGGAAGAGGAGGCGGAGGAGGAGGAGGAGGAGGAGGAGGACGAAGCTCCGTCAGCCTCTGAAAGCGCCAGCGGCATCGTGATCCGAGATATTGCGCAGAGAACCGATGACCCACCGGGACCGCCCCAAAAATGTCTCTTTAATAGAGCCTTGATGGTCCTTACTAGTGGGTACTTGGGGTATAAGTTAGTAGAGGGTACTGGGGGTCTAGGCATGCTGAGCTGAGATTCCATCTAAACTCTTAACCTAAACCCCACACCCTTTATGCTGATTCTCTAAACCTAAACCGTAAAACCTACATGCTGATGATTTGAGTCCATAATTTCGTCTGCGGCTCTCCTACTGGAGGCTAGCAGCGGGAATGCCGTCGATGAAGCGCCCATCGACATCCACTGAGGCGCCCTCCTTAGGGGCTCCTTTAAGGGATCTATAATAAGGGATCTATAACAAGGGGTCTTTAGGTTTAGGGCTTCTTTATCTTTCATCAGGGATCTATAACAAGGGAGCTTTAGGTTTAGGGCTTCTTTATCTTTCATCAGGGATCTTTAACAAGGGATCTTTAGGTTAAGGTTTAATTATGGTTTTAGGGTCTAGGGATTGCCTAATCCCGCGCCTTCCCGACGATCCTCTTTTAATGCAAAGGACCTCTGCTCAGAGTACCTTGGAGATGCGGCGGAGGAATGTTCTTCATTCCTCTAAGGGTCCAAGTACCCATATAGAGATACATGGGCCCCAAAGTACCTATATAGGGACTACATTAAAGCCAATGTATATACTATATGAGTACATGGACCCTTAGGGTTCGTAGGTCGATGACTTCGATTTCGTGGCTCGGAGTTGTGCGCGTTTTTTTGAACACGAAAATGTCCAACATGAGTACGCGCCTCCAAACAGGATCCTGACTTAGAGCAATCCCGAGCTGCTTAATCTGTAATCTGTAAGAGTTTCGCAGCATGAATGTGTTGCTCACGTACTCTGTGCCGGCTTCCAACACATGCATGCATACATATATATATATATATGTATGTATACACACACGCAGACACGCATGTATGTAGAGACCTACACATCTACGCATGCATGGCACATAGACACACGTAACCATGCGTGGGAAAATTCATCCATCTATATATATATATATACACACATACACACTTGCATACATATACCGAAGTTGTAGATAGATCTTGGTGCGCGTAGGGACGATGCTTTATGCGTTTTCTAAAAGAAACTCTAGGGGACTATTACACACCACATTGTTTCATTATGGGTCTAAGGGCGATTAAGACTTCAGACCCTCAGGCAGGGCCGATCAAGAAGGCCAAGAAGGTGGCCAGCACCACCGGAGCTTGAGCTGAATTGAGGAGCTGGGTTTGGCTTATCGGGTTTTGAGCGTATGAGTTCTGAACATCATTAAACCCCATAGCCCAAGTAGTCCTTATTTATGGGTTTTTGGTACTTAAAAAGGCCCTAAAGTCCTGTAAGAGGGAGTACTTGAACCCTCTGGGGAATGGTTAACCTTTTTCGGGGAAGGGTAGTTCAGCCCCACAGTCTACATTGTTTCCTTGTTGGGCTTCGGTGCTCTGGGAGTTGAAATGGAGGATGCCCTGTGGCGATAAGTGTCACAGTTCTCAGGAGCCTTCTTTCATGCAGTCAGAATGACTGACTAGAGTAGACTCAAAACCCTATTCCTATCTCTAAGGCCTCGACATCCTGTGTATGACAAGACTAGACTAATTGACCACTGAAGTGTGCCATGGAGGACCTCCAACTGCAAGGGCTCCTTGAAGGGATCTTTAAGGGCTCCTTTAAGGGGTGTTAACGTAGGGGTCGGCAGAAGGCCGCTCAGAGCCGCCTTTGCAGACCTGCTGCGTTATACCCCAAAGCGTGCAACGTGGATTAGGGGTTTAGGGTTTAGGGGTTTAAGGTTTGGGGGTGGATCTCTGAAGCTGGAATCATGGTTCTCTGAGGCACAGGCTTCACTGCGCAGAGCAGCAAAGCCCTGCCCATGGATGCAACGATAAAGCGGACGGAGGCACCTCATCTCGCCAGACTGCAACCTAGTGGCTGTAAGGTTCAGGCATGTTCAGTTTGGCAAACTGGGCTCTTGTTCTCAAATTTACGTCAAGTTGCCGGAAACCATATTATTTACTCTAAGCCCCTGTTAGGGTAACTTGAACTAGGTTCCTTAAGTGAACAAGATCGCAGCGAACTCTGTTCGTGCTGCACTCACCTGGTTGATGACGAAGCTGCACCTACCTGCCAAAGTATGGGTTTAGGGGGTCCTGGTTGAGGATTAATTAAGGGTTTTAGGGGTTTTGAGTCAGGGGTTTAGGA